CACCACGCGCGATGATCGACTGACTCACGATTCTTCGGGTGCGAGGCTCCGCTGGCTTGCCATTCGCTAGTGACTCCTATATGGTTGTGACACTCGTGACTGTGAGATCTTCGCGCATGTGAGCAGAAAACGATGTTGTCCAGCAGATTCGAAATAGCGCGACTGAATCAAACAACAAACTCAGGAGAAGTGTTGTAGGATTATGCATGCGAAGCTGCCTTCTCTCTCCCGGACGACACTCCTCCTGAGTCTATTGTTCATGCAGTCACGCAATCTCGAGTCTTCTTTCCTTGACGAAAGTAATTTTGAGGAGTGCTTGATGAGGGAGACCAAAGCACGAAAGCCGGGTGATCTTTCTGTGGAGCAAGAGCCGCAACGACATGTGACGCGCGGGCTCGCAAAGCCGGCCAAGAATTGGTCTACGTGACATTGCGATCGGATCTAGTGCGAGGAAGTGGTGCTAGTCGTTTCAAGAGGAGAGTCATGGTCATCTACGGGGAGTGCGAGGTGGGGGCAGAGGAGCAGGCGAGGGTTGAGAGCGCGGATCGGAGCTGAAAGAAGGAGGTAATTGAAGCCTGCAGGCGGTGTTGACAAAAAGGCAAAGGGCGAATGCCCGTCAGCCTCGCTTCGTATGACGCTTGATGAGAAAGACTTGAAACGAGCTCACATCGACATCACGTCGCTCCACGTCGGCTGACTAGGATCTAGCTGAAAGCCAAAAGGCGAACTGGTCGAGAGTTGTTGGAACGCGGACCAGTTCTGAGCATCTTGAAAGTCGCCACGTTGCTGCTGCGGTAGGTTCCCGAGCAATGCCATGTCCGATTGTGGCTGTGGCTGAGCAATACCATGTCCCGGTGCCTGCACGGACGTAGAGTTAAGCAAGAAGCTGTGAGTGGTTGGAAAGGGTTGTCTGTGATGGGGTTCATGAAGCATGCCATCCCGAGCCGTGACGTTGGCAAGCATGGCCAGACCATCCGCAGCTGGCTGTTCATGGCGTTGTCGATACAGTTCGGAAGCTGTCGCTGCGGTGACCATAGACGGGCCTCCGTCCTGTGGTACTCCTTGCTGCCCCGCGACAGATTCACGTCGCCCGGCTGTCTCGTTCCAGAACACAGTGTCGGCGTCTGCACGAGCATCGCTGGGTGTCAGTACGCGTCTTTGCTCACTGTTACTGCGCGCAACATTGACTCACCGAATAGACTGGGCGCATGGCTGTAGAACTCGGCGCCAGTCGAAGGAATGTCGTAGGCGTTTGTGCCGTGCAGATAATCGATAATCGCGCGTTGTTGCTCTGCACTGGCAGCAAAGCCGCCCCAGATCGGTTGCTGATTAGTGCCTAAAAGCATGACCTCGGCACCGCCCTGTGAAGCATCTGCGTTCGAAACATCCGCATCACGATACGCTTGCGCTGTCGAGTGCGAATTTGCGCCCACTCGAGAAGTCGTGGGCGGTAAAGTGGAGGTTTGGGCCGGAGCGTGTCGCTCATTTGAAGTACTCGACGCTTTGCGGGAAGAGAGGGCGGCGGCATCTCCTTGAGAAGCTGCCAAGGTCGAGCTGATTTTTTCACGCTCAGAAGTGCTTGTGGACTTCTTGGAAGCACTGCTGGTCGCGGTCTTCGACAATTTTTCTGGTGGTTGCGCTTTAGACGAGGCCCGGCTCCGTGGTCGTTTGGTCGACGTGGCGTGCACGGCGCGATGCCCAGCATCATCATGTTGATCTTTTCGCTCGCTCATATAGCTTTCACCGACGGTGGCAACTCCATCCAGAAGCTGCTTATGAGCACTTGCAGCGGGCCAGCGAGAGCTGAGCTTGCCTAGCCATTGTCGGCACAAACCAAAGCGTCGCCGAGCATCTGCAGCGATGACCTTATCCGACAATCCGCAATTGAAGAGGAAGAGTAAGCTTGCGGAAAAGATGCAGAATGCAAGATCCCCACTCAGTCTGTCCATGTCTACCGACGTCGGTTCGAGCAAGTCGCAAAGCGTGTTGGCGGCAAGTGTGCACTTTTGGTGACTGGAATTCTCTAGCACTTCTTGGAGCGTGGCATCATCATCTTGAGGGATGAAAGGCCTGTGAAGCAGCAGGATGGCTGTGTAGTACCAGACCAAAAGTACAAACAGCGATGGCAAGGGTCCGCTCGAGTCGAGCCGCGCGAGATCAGTGGGCTCGAGGCGCAAGTGTTCAGGGAGATCTTGCTTCCAAGCCGAAAGTCGCCGGTCAAGCTCGCCCAGAGCCTCTCTGGAAGTTCCTTGCCTTCGCAGAGCAGCCTTGCGTCGGAATGAGTGAACAGAGGTGAGGATGCTTTCGATAATATTGAAGAGCAGTACACCTTGATTCAGCGTGGATGCGGCGTGGATGTAGCGAGGTCTAGCCGCGGTGGGCTTGCCAACAGACTCTTCAGAGTGCATCTCGACCTGATCGTCCCACAGCTCCAGCTCATCATCGACGTTTTCTGAAAGGAGTGGCACGTCGCAATCACGAGCATGCATCAACACTGGTCTGCCCATCTCTGCAGAAAGCAGGGTACCGAGGATCCTGACGTGATGGATGAGTCGAACACGCGTTTCTCGTTCACCCGTGTGTGAGAGCAGATCAAGACGATGAATCGGCCACCTGTGAAAGCCAAGGTCCATCGACAAGCTTTGAGACAGGCCGCTAAGAGTCCACGCCTTCGAGAGATCTCCTTGGCCATGGTGATACAGCGCCAACAGAAATGCTGCTTGAATTGTTGACACGCAGGGTCGCAATCGCGAGGCGTAGAGGTACTGCTCCGACCTTCGAGCGAGTATCTCGCCTACACGCTCTCCGAGCTCATCATCAAGGTGACAGTTGAGAGCGGTGATTGGCTTGGTCGAC